TATCTTGAGGGCCACACAGGACAATGGCCAGTGTGGAGAGGGGGAGGGAGCACAGAACTGGGCTTCTGCCTTTATTGGAGTGCAAGGGTGGGGTGGTTAAGCAAGAACCAGGGGGCAGGAAGAGACGTGGGGTCACTCACATGGTTATCTACGTTGCCCAAGGTTTTCTAGAAAGGAGAACTTGATGGGTGAGGCAGGCCTGGGGGCTTACCTAGAAGCTGGTATACAGCTGATGATATGTTCATGCAAAATGGGTGTTTGAAATAGATGATTTAGCAATCAGGAGCTTAATGCCAGTCCCTTAGGAAAAGGGAAGTTCACTGTGTTTCCAATAGTGCTAAAGGCCTACTTTCTCTAAGACCTCGTCAATACTTGTCAGTTTTTTGAGAGTGTGAGGTGGCCAACACATTTAGAACAGATTCTGTGGTCTACAGTGCGAGGAACGGATAGCCTCAGACAAGTGTCTGCGACTTTGAGTAACAGAGCTCTGAGGGCTGCCTCTCACCTCTTTAAGACAAGAACCAGGCCCCGGGAGAGGATCTCAGTGACCGCACGGTGATGCCAGGCTGCTGAGGTCAACTGTGCCAAGCGCTGGGTCTTGGAGACGCCTCCCCACTGTCTCCATTCATCGGAAAATGCACTGGCTCTCAGATTTGGCTGTTGCCCCTCTCTGTGGAGTGGGAGCAGGGCCGAGGACTCTTCTTTTTGGGTTGGACTCACTGTGACTCAGTTGTGCTCATTTCACATGCTAGCAAGGGTATGCTCAAAATCCTTCAAACTAGGCTTTAGTGGTACGTTGTTGGTCCTTTATTGGACTCCTGGTGGTCCGGAGTCAATGACAAGAGAGTGAAAGAAGGAAAGAGGCTAATGTTCCTTGGGTTACGCAGCTGGCTTTCGCGCTCCAGGGAATCAGCCAGAAATAGAGACAGAGAGAGAAAGAAAGAAAGAAAGACACAGGGACCCAAGCTATGATGGAGCAAAAGTGTTTTAATCAACAAGGTGTGGTGGGCATATATACTGTCTTACAAGTTACTTATTCTCAGCAAAGATAAAGATTAAAATTCCAGACTTACAAAACATAAGGCAATCCCTATTAAAGAGACAGTTGTAAACAATCACCCCCCCACCCCCCGGCTTGGCTCACAAGAAGGAAGAGGGTACTTATCACCGTCTTGAGAAACTAACAAAGGAAATGCCTGGATTCCTCAGCCCCTGGGAAGGCATGCCTCGCCTCTTAATTCCTGAATATTCAGGAATTAATAAGGACCAGAGGATTCCTGACAGATCCAAAACAGCACACAGGAAGCCTCCTGTTAAATGCTTCCTGGACAGTATGTGAACTGAGAACTTCCAAATGTACAAGCTGGGTTTAGAAAAGGCTGAGGAACCAGAGATCAAATGCCAACATTTGTTGAATCCTAGAGAAAGCAAGGAAATTCCAGAAAAAACACCTACTTCTGCTTCATTGACTACACTAAAGCCTTTGACTGTGTGGATCAAAACAAACTGGAAAATTCTTAAACAGTACCAGATCACCCTGGGCTTCCCTGATAGCTCAGTTGGTAAAGAATCTGCTGGCAATGCACGAGACCTGGCTTCTATTCCTAGGTTGGGAAGATCTGCTGGAGAAGGAATAGGCTACCCACTCCAGTATTCTTGGGCTTCCCTTGTGGCTCAGCTGGTAAAGAATCCACCTGCAATGCAAGAGACCTGGGTTCGATCCCTGGGTTGGGAAGATCCCCTGGAGAAGGGAAAGGCTACCCACTCCAGTATTCTGGCCTGAAGAATTCCATGGACTGTATAATCCATGGGGTGGCAAAGAGTTTGATACGACTGAGCAACTTTCACTTATTTACTTACTCACCAGACCACCTTACCTCTCTCCTGAAAAACCTGTGTGAGGGTCAAGATGCAACAGTTAGAACTGGACATGGAAATACTGACCTGCTCAAAATTGGGAAAGGAGTATGACAAGGCTGTATGTTGTCACCCTCCTTATTTAACTTTATGCAAAGTATATTATGAGAAATGCCAGGCGGGATGAATCATAATCTGGAATCAAGATTGCTGGGAGAAATATCAACAACCTCAGATAGGCAGATGGTACCACTCTAATGGCAGAAAGCAAAGAGGAACCAAAGAGCTTCTTGATAAGGGTGAAAGAAGAGGGTGAAAAAGATGGCTTAAAATCCAGCATCAAAAAACTTAAGATCATGGCATTTGGTCCCATGGCAAATAGAAGGTGAAAATGTGGAAACAGTGACAGATTTGATTTTATTGGTTTCCAAAATCACTGCAGGTAGTAACTGCAGCTATGAAGTTAAAAGATGGTTGCTCCCTAGAAGGAAAGCTATGAAACACCCAGACAGCATTTTAAAAAGCAGAGACATCACTTTGCCAACAAATATTCATAGTCAAAACTATGGTCTTTCCAGTAGTTAGGTACAGTTGTGAATGTTGGACAATAAAGAAGGTTGACACCAGAGAATTGATGCTTTTGAATTGTGGTGCTGGAGCAGACTCTTTGAGAGTCCCTTACAGCAGAGAGATCAAGTCAGTCAAACCTAAAGGAAATTGACCTAGAATATTCATTGGAAGAACTTGTGCTGAGGCTGAAGCTCCAGTACTTTGGCCACCTGATGAGAAGAGCCCATTCATTGGAAAAGGCCCTGATGCTGGGAAAGATTGGAGGCAGGAGAAGAAAGGGACAACAGAGGATGAGAAGGTTAGATTGCATCACTGAGCCGATGGACATGAATTTGAGCAAACTCCAGGAGATAGTGCAGGACAGAGGAGCCGGCACACTTCTGTCCATTGGGCTGCAAAGAGTCAGACATGACTTAACGACTGAACAACAGCCTCCAAGTTGTCTGGTGATGCCAAAGTGTGTTTGCTGTAACTCTAGCTGTCTCTGTGTCTCCCTGGGCTCTGAGAATTTTTCTTTTTTAAATAGTATTTTATTGAGATATGGTTCAGGTAAACACACAGACCCTAGTCTGCTGGATGAGTCCTTATGTTGTAAACAGCTGTGTGACCACCATCCAGGTCAAGCTCCAGTTCGTGGAGCTTTCCAGCACCCAGATGATTCCTTCGGGTTCCTCCCAGTTGGTGCCCACCTCGGGTCATCACTTTTCTGACCGATTGTTGGATTTTGTCTAATAAAAGTCTCCCAGCCTGTGCTCACTCATGCCTGGCTCCTGTACACAACTGTGAGTGTCACTGATGATCTTGCCTATATCTTTGGTCCCTTTTTATGCCAAGGGCTAGTCCAGTGTAGTCACATCATCATTCATTTTTCCTTTCTCCTGCTCATGAACAATGTGATTCCAGTGTGGGGCTACGGTGAGTGAAGCTGTTTTCCACACATGCATATGTTTTCTTTCTTTTTTTATTTTTTAAACTCATTTGACCCATTTTATGGTTAACACTTGAAATACATTTACTAATTAAGACAACCAACACTTTTACTTTTATTTGCATTTATTTTCTGCGGCATTTATTCCCGGGCCATAAGTTTTTGTTTCTTCAGTTTCTTCTGGGATATCTTTTTCTTCTGTGCAACCTCCTCTTCTGGTTTAGGAACAATCTGTTCTTTTTCAGTAAGGATCATCTCAATGTGGCCGGGAGAGCTCATGTAGGGGTTGATACGACCGTGAGCTCTGTAAGTCCTGTGCCGCATCTTGGGGGCTTTGTTCACTTGGATGTGCTCAATGACCAGAGAATCTACATCTAAGCCCTCAAGTTCAGCATTACTCTCTGCATTTTTGAGCATGTGTAGTAAAAATTCAGCACTCTTTTTGGGCCACCGACCCTGCATCCAGCCCCATGTTTGGCCTGTGCACACCTACCAGCTCCACCATTGTAACGACGGAATGGCACACACTGCTTCTTTAAAGTGACACCCTTCAGATACTTGGTGGCTTTTCGGATATGCATACCCTTTATGGCCTGGGCAGTCTCACGAGTGTTCTTAAAGTGAACACGAAGATTTGAACCTCTTGATTTGCATGATTTTGTGGGGTTTTCTGGGTCGAGTGAATAGCGCACCATTTTTAAGGGTCAGCTCAGGCCGCTTACCGGAAAAGCCATGCATATGTTTTCATCTCTCTTGGGTAAACATCTAGGAGAGCCTGGGCACAGTAGAGGAAGAAGATCCGCCAACAAGTTTCCAACACTCTTGGATTTTACACTCCAACCTGCAGTGAACGAGAGCTCCAGTGATCTTTATCCCAGTAGATTAGGAAATGGTCTCCCTGTTCCTGGTGTCAAACAGTATTGCAAAGCTTTTCCCCTTCTTTTCCTCCTTTCTGCTTCAACTGTGCCATCTGCCCCTTAAATCCAGTCAAATTGTGGTTGATCTAGAAATATAGTGGGGACAGAGGGTGTACAGAGGAGGCATGTGTGCTCAATCTATGGGAACATCTCAAATAAGTCAGTCTTTGAAAATTCTGGGGCACCGAGGCAAGCCCAAGAATAGAGAGAGGTGCAGACAGGTTCTCAGCCCCAGGGCACCTGCTCCACGCTCAGTACCTATAGGACCCTCAGCTGCTTGTCCTGGTTGGACATGGGGTCCCGTCTCTAGCACACGGTGGGGCCTACTTAATCTTCGCTGTGTGTTTCCTCCCCAAACCCCTTTCTGACCAAAGCTGATCCTGAGTCTGTTTCAGTCAAACATTTCCATTAACAAGGTACTGGAAGCAATTAAAGACAGTTATTCAACATATTGCCTCCAACTCAGTGTCACTTGGAATATTTTATTATGTCTGAGATGTCTCTGCTCCCCATTCTAAAGCCCAGAATCAAGAGAGAGAAGAGAGAGAGAAATTCACAGAGAGGAGGGGTCAGAAGCTCCCTGGGCATCATTATACGCAACAATAAGGGAAACTCCATCACCAGGTTTTCTATCTTCAAAACATTTCTTTTTACATGATTATGCTTTTATGTGAGGAGTAGAATTTTAAAGGGGAGGAATACCTTTTTAAGAAGTGGAGTAGCCTTATATGGCTCAAGCTGGTGCTAGTGAGTTGTGTGACCTTGGATATGACCCGTAGATTCTCTGAGCCTTAGTTTCCCTGTCTGCCAAATGGGTAGGAACTAGGCCTTCCTGCAGCACTGCCACCCCATGCCCAGGCAACACCCCATCACACAGGTCTTGCCGAGCAACCTCACTGTTGTCTGGACGTGACACAGCCACATGCTCAGGGGCTGTGTCTTCTAGAAGCTGTGCATGTGGTGAGAATGTCTGAGCCTATGTGAACTATTCCAACTGGGGGTGGAGGGTAGCAGGAGAGCAGAGGGGAGAGGAGCACCCACTTCTGTCCTCCATCTTCCTCCCTCCCTTCCTTCCTTCCTCTGAACTGACTTCCTCCTGCTCCTGGCTCCTCCCCATTGAACAACAAACTGCATTGAATTCTGTGTCTTGGCAAGTCCTTCCTGTTGCAGAGGTCTGCCTAGAGAGCGTGCAAAGCAGCAGTGTTCACATAGGCGATGAAGAGCTGGCCTTCAGGGACACCCAGCCTCCCTACACAAACCCAGTAAGTTCCAGGGCTGGGGGAGGCCTCGACAAGGGGGACGCAGCTCTGGGGCTCCGAGGAAACAGCTCCTGATGGGATGACAGGAGGCCGGGGGAGGCCTCATTCCAAAGAGAAGAGATGAAGGGCAGACACACCAACCAGGGCGGCCCTGCCACGACTTCTGCCTGTGCCCGTCTCCCCAGTGCCGCTCAGGGCTGAGGGTCGCCAAGATTTGTGCATGTGACAAATGTTTACTGTGCTCTCTCCTGGTCTTTCTCCTGTTCTAGGTGCTCAGAGGGGGAAGAAGAGTCTAAGTAATAAATAGAAAAGTGAGTTTTTTTTTTTTTTTTAACATGAAGGAAGGTAAACGTCTTCTGGAAAGGATAACAATGGAGCATGGCACTTAAGGGCACTTACTTGGAAGATGACCTCCCTGGGTTCAGCCATTTACTAGCTGGATGACCTCAAGCCGGTTACTTTACCTCTCTGGGCCTCAGTTTCTGCTTGGGTATGATGGGAATAATCAAGTCACCACCCAGAGCTTGGGTAAGGATTAAGCAAGGTAGTATGTTGAGAGAGTTTGAAAAGTATGTTATCTGGCCCACTGTGGGGGGGCTCTGAAAGTGTTTAGAATTGTTAGGAGTGTGGAGGAAGGAGGAAAGTCCTCCCATCATCAGAGAGTTGAGAGAGCAAGGCAGGCAGGTCAAGGGTGTCTGAGAGAGACTGTCCCAGGAGGGCGGAGTGGGCTGCCCCTGCACTGTGGGGTGCAAAGGTCTCTCTTCTGGGCATTTTTACCTCCTGTGTGGAGGTCTTGTCATAGGTGGCCTTGTTTAAACCAGTGGTCCCCTCCTCTAGGCATGGACTGATGTTTGTGCATGGCCTGGTAGGAACTCAGCTGCAGAGCTAATGAAGCTCCATCTGTATTTATAGCCACTCCCCATCACTCACATCTTCCCATCCTTGGAAATATTGTCTCCAGTGAAACTAGTCCCTGGTGCCAGAAAGATTGGGACAGCTGGTTTAAACCCTTATCATCTCCACATCATATATGTATTACTGAGGCTCACAAAGGTGGAGGTCACTCATAAGGTTCCCAGGTGGTAAGGGCTGAGGAGGGAGGTGTCTTGATTTCCCTCATCCTGGAGGAAGGAGGTGTCCACAGAGAGTGCCCTCGGGGAGGAGGAGGCAGGAACGCAGCAGCCTGGGTCCCAGGAACTTTCTGAGCTCACTGTATCCTGGCCCAGCCCTGCAGTAGGAGTCTCTCCCGGGCTCAGCTTCCTGAGAGGCTGGGCAGGTGGGCTGACGGAGCCCTTCATGGGGAGGGGGTGCATGGGGCATCAGGTGCTGGGACGCTGCTTGATCCGCACTCAGGCTCACCTCCCCAGGGGCCCTGGTATGGCCTGTGTGCTCCATGCAACGGCCAATGCTTTTCAGCCCACCTAGTGAGGGCTCCCGGGTGGGGCTGGAGGAAGCTAGGCTGCCTGGTGGGTGCCTCCACAGTGGCCTGAGTCAGGATGTGTCACCTGAGTCTTGTTCTCCATCAGATGGGGGACCCGGAGCCGCTTCCGGGTTCAGCAATTTTATTATTCTGATGACATGTTTTTACTCTCTAATCCTTGGATTCAAAAGCCCAACTATAGGCGGGGCCCGCTCTCTGAAGCCCCCAACTATTCCCCGACCGCCAACCCCCGACCCTCCCCACCTCCCCACCTCAAAGGGCTGTGCACTTGCTTTCGGATCCTGGAAAGGATCCTAAGATGGGAACTAGCGAGTGTTGGGAATGTTGGGGTCTGTTGCTTATGGCTTGTTATCCTTTCGAGATTTAAATAACTTTCAATTACCTGAAAGTGAAATGAAATTAGTTCTTAATTCAAATAATAGTTTGGTCTGGTAAATGGCTGGGGAAGAAAGTAATTTTCTCGGAGAAGAAAACCGCAACAGCGTTTCTTTTCTTCCGTTTTAAAATCCTTTATATTGCTCGCTTTGGCAGCACTTATGCTAAAATCCTTTACAAACTCCTGTAAATTTTTACATAATGTGAGGACGTTTTCTGAGTACCTAATTTTTCAAACAAGTTCTTAGAACATACTCAGTTTTTTTCTCATTCAACAACTTTTGAATAACTTATCAATAACTTACCAGCTTGAAAAGGGAACTCAACACTTTGCTAAGTTATTCAATGGCAATCCGCGCCTGCCCGCACCGCCCCCTGCTTCTTCTTCTTTTTTTTTTTTTACGGTTCAGAACCCATCGTTTTTTGTTAAGGAATTTAAAACTTATGTAGATCAGGCGTGCAGAGCTGCTGAGGAATTTGTCAATGTTTACTATGAGACAATGGACAAAAGAAGACGGGCACTAACCAGGCTGTATCTGGACAAGGCCACTTTAATATGGAATGGAAATGTTGTTACAGGGCTGGAAGCCCTAGCCAATTTTTTTGACATGTTGCCTTCTAGTGAATTCCAGGTCAATATGTTAGATTGCCAGCCAGTTCATGAGCAAGCTACTCAGGCCCAGACCACAGTTCTTGTTGTGACCAGTGGAACTGTGAAGTTTGATGGCAACAAGCAACACTACTTCAACCAGAACTTCCTGCTGACTGCGCAGACTACTGCTCACAATACTGTGTGGAAGATTGCAAGTGACTGCTTCCGTTTTCAAGACTGGGCTACTATTTAAAGGGGGCAAAAGTCCATTCTTTTTTGGTCCATTAGTTCCAGCAACAGAAATTTATGTGAGTTATTAATTCATTTCATTGTGGAAGCACTAAAACCTAGTATGTGCTGAAACTAAATTTCTTTAATATTTTTTTATTCCTAGCAGCACCTTTTCTAGCAGCTGCCAATTTGAATCATTGCCCTTAAGAGCTTTAATGCTAGTTTTCTACATGCCTTATACATGTTTCACTAATGACATTCTTACAGTAACATTATATCCATGATCTCTGTATTAGCATACTCACTGTGAGCCCAGCATATTGCAAAAAGGAAATCTTTTTATAATACTATCTATGGGATATCAGCACAATGTAACTTTCTGGGAGGAAGTGGAGTGTTTGTTGTTGTTGTTATTAGATTAGGTTAATTTTGTAGTATAAAGTGTACCTTTTTTGTTTAACACTGGTAATGTAGTTTATATATAAGGCTTTTTCAAAGCAATTCAATGAACACATTACTAGTTTAGGTTTACATAACTACTCTGACATACTAAAATCACATATAGAGATGTTCAATAGTCTTTTTATGTTAAGTAATTTTTTTCATGTTGGCATGTTTTCTTAGGAAGTGAATTAATCTACTCGAGAGATGTAAAATGTTCTCAATTGATACCCGAGTGTTGGATACACTCAGTGGCTTAAAAGCAAGACTTCTTTAAAAGCTTTTTCTTGGCAGCTCCAGGTCTGCAACTTTAGATAGTAAATGGTAGTAGGACTAATAGCTTTAGCGGGAGAATGAGGAGTGAGAAATGTATAGATCCGAGGTTAGCCACAAGTAAGAAAGGATGGCCAAGTGGTACGCTTTTGGTATTTGTTTTCTACCTCCTAAAAATGTAGCCTAATTTTAGGATTTAAGTCATTAAGGTAATAAGTATCTTTACCAAAAGGTCATGAGTGTCACTTTTGTTCTAAGAATTATTTTTAAATGTTTTTCTAGTTCACCTCATGCTTATCACCAGTATATGTTTCAATTTATTTAAGAACTTGTTGGGGGAAAATGTCAGCAATAAGCCTGACCTTGCAGCAGGGTCTGATAGAAAAGTTGGAAACAAAGCCATGGCTCTCTCTTTGGGACCCTTAACTTCTAAGTCTTCCATGTGAACTTCAGACCAAAAGTCTGCTACGTACTACCCACCCCCAAAGTGAGTGATTTGTTCCCTGTGTTTACACTGTCAACTGCATGATCTGTTTACTACTTAAAGCTAAAATTATTTAATCTCGTGATGGTGTTCTTCCATACAGCACTGAGCAAATAGATCTGTTATAAAACATGTTCCTGTTGTGTAGCTCACATTTTCTTTTTGGAAAGATAGAGAACAGAAGATCTTCATAAGCCTATAAACTTCAGAAAAACCAGTTGATTCATTCTGTGTCTCAGCATCTAAAGAGAAAGAAATCTTTGTTTTTTGGTTAAACTTTAAACATTTTTCCATTCTTGAATTCATCATTCTCATGTTTTTACACTAGATGTGCCAGCTTTATTTCCACATTCCAACTCAGTATTTCTTGTTACTTAATTTGAAGATCAACAATTCATTTACTCTTGTTGCAAACTACACGTCACATTTCTGATATATTAATAAAATAGAACTAAGTAGGAGAAAGGGATGGAACAGAAATTTAGACTACACCTTGTAGTACTGACTAAAGCTTACACATATTCTACTCAAACTGAGTTTATTCTAATTTTGGATTGACTTTTTAAAACCACAGCTTTAGTAGCAACAGTCAGATTGCCCAAATATTGCCTTTTCCCTAAAGGAGAACAGTCTCAAGTAAAAGTGGCATATAACTAGCAATAACTGAATTGACTGGTTGTATGTATACTGTTCATTAGTTGAATGTTTTGAGACTTGTGTATGAATTGCTGTTTCCAAACTCTGTATAACTTTTAAATGGCTGGAACTACCCTTATAGGGACTAGACTGTATTTTTGACATGCGCATATTTTTGTAACTTAAAATAAATAAATAAAATTTGCCTTTAACAACAACAACAAAAAAAGCCCAACTATAGACAGGTCACATGACTTGGTGGCATCAGAGCTGCCAGCACGGGGAGTTGGGAGGCCAGCCTAATCTGTGAGGCTATAAATCCAACATAAAAACCCATCCTCCTGGGTCATAGGAAGCAAAGGCCCGTGCTGCTCTTTCCTGCTAAGATCAGATACACACACACACATATACACATGCACAGAGGGGTCTTCGGCAATGCCAGGCTTAAACCATACAAATTTATTTCCTTACAGTTCTGAGGTTAGAAATCTAAAATCAAATGTCAGCTAAGCCGTTTCCTTTTGGAGCCTTCAGGGGAGAATGTGTCCTTGTTTATTCCAGCTTCCAGAGGCTGCCCACTTGCCTTGTCTTGTGGCCTCTTCCTCCTCCTGCGATTTTTTTTTTTTTACTGTGTCAGGTCTCAGTTGTGGCACAAGGGATCTTCACTGTGGCCCGTGGGCTCTCTAGCTGTGGCCCAAGTGGGATCTTAGTTCCCCAACCAGGGATCTAACCCTCAATTGCTGCACTGGAAGGCAGATACTTAACCACTGCTGGACCACCAGGGAACTCTTCGCTTTCTCCTTCTCTAAAGCCAGCAGCTTCTTGCTTCTGTTGTCACATCTCCTACAACCAACTCTCCTCTTCTGCCTCCCTCCTTGCAGACCCTGTGACTATTGGGCCCACCCAGATATTCCAGATAACCCCCACCCCCACAATCCCAAGATTCTTAATCATACCTGCAAAGTTCCTTTTGCTGGGTAAAGTAACATATTCACAACTTCTAGGGATTGTAATGTGGACATTTTTGGTGGGGAGTGAAGGAGTCTTTGGGGCCTAGAAAAGAAAGCAACAGTCTCAAAGGCCCTTGCTGAATCATCTCACTTCGGAGAAAACAAAACAGAACTTTAGTTCCACCCTGATGCTCCAGGCCGGTTGCATCTATCTGGGACTTATCACCCCCTGCCCGGAAACCTTCCACCCCCTACACCTGCCCAGAAGACTAATCACCCCCTCCCCAACTACAAATGCCATCTCAACTAAAGAATACCTAAAACATCCTGCCTGATTAACGTTTCCCTTATTGCTTCCACAAACCTCCCTATAAACATGGAGCCTCCCTGATCACTCTCGCGCTCAGCCTGGTCGTTAGGCTGACTGTCGCCCCTCCTTGCCTGAGTAAATGTAACCTACTTCTGTTGAGGTCGTCTTTCCTTTACTGCCTCAGCGGGAACCATACCTTACATTGTTGGTGCTGAAACCCGGGAGGGGGCGAGGCACTCGTCTCACTCTCTCTCACTCTCTCAATCTCCTTCCCTCTCATTGTTTTCCCTTTTCCCGGAGTCTGGGAGCAGGAACATCATCGCCCAGCTCATTTTTCTGCCAGGGCTCTTAAGTTCTCCTCAGGGACGCCTAGTTCCTTCGTGAGCGGTGCAAGCCTTGTGCTAAGGCTTAATTGATAGAGACCTCTTGCCATTCGGCCGCTCTACATGCAACACTCCACTTAAGCCGGCCCCTAGATTAAGGTAAAATCCGACCCGGACGGAGTTCTAGAGGCGCCCTAGAGCTCAGTCCTCTCTGGGTCCCGGGGACCCCAGCCCAGGGCCACTCTGTAGGGGACGGTGGGGGACGCTCCACCTCGACACAGAGCTCTCTTCTCATAACTCCTATTGCGACTACGGGTGACAACTCGAGTTCCCAATAGGAGCCTCTGCTTGCCTTTCGATTATGGAATCTGGCCAATCTGTCCCAAAAGATTCCCCTCTGACCTGTGTTCTCAAAAATCTCAAACCACTTTCACTCGCTGAACTCAAAGCTAACTGCTTAAAACAACTCTGTACACAGATTTGGCCTCAATACCAAGTAGACAATCAAGACCGCTGGCCTGAGGTCAGCACATTTGACTTTAACATTCTTCAAAATCTCACCGACTTCCTTAAACGGAATGGCAAGTGGTCGGAGAGCCCATATGCCCAAGTCTTTTGGGCCCTTCGGAGCAGGCCCTCCCTATGCCAGGCCTGCTCCATCCACGAGGTCCTTCTATGCACTTTGCCTCCCAAGCAAAAGGGCTCTTCTTCCTCAACTAACCGCAGACCGCGACCTTCTGCACCCCCGGAGTTCGACCCCGCGGATGAGCCCCCTCCCTACCCGCCACCCCGCCGCCCCTCTCCTTCCCCTTCATCCAACTCACCTGCTGGCACTGAAACCTCTCCTGACTCCCCCTCAGCTCCGCTACCCCATCTCCCCAACTCCCCCCTCCCTCCTTCCTTCCCCACCTGCCACATGGTCACGTACCCAGCACATGTTTCCCCTGAGAGAGGTGGCAGGACCAGAGGGCCCCACCCGAGTCCATGTGCCATTTTCATTGTCAGATATGAGCCAGATAGAAGAAAAGCTAGGATCATTTTCTGAAAATCCTACCAGATACAGAAAAGAATTCCTGAGACTCTCCCAGGCCTGTAACCTCACATGGAGTGATGTATATTATATCCTAAGTGCCACTCTCACCCCAGATGAAAAAGACCGTATCAGGCAAGTGGCAAAAGCCCATGCTGATCATTTACATAACCAAGACCGGGATAGCCCCGTTGCTGATGAGGTGGTGCCTCAGTTAGATGCCCACTGGACTTACCAGCCCAGTGACCCAGGTATCAGGAGACTCAATCATATGATTACCTGCGTTCTAGAAGCAATGCAGAAAAATACTCATATCCATGTCAATTATGATAAAGTCAGGGAAATCACCCAAGGGGCAGACGAAAATCCAGCCTTATTCTTGGCACGCCTCACAGAGGCAGTCCAGAAGTATACCAACCTAGATATCACTACCCCTGCTGGGTTACTCTACCTTCACGTTCAGTTCATCAGCCAGTCCGCTCCTGACATCAGACGCAAGCTTCGACAACTAGAAAAGGGCCCTGAGACCCCCCAGAGAGACCTTCTAGAAGTAGCCTTCAAGGTGTTCAATAATAGGAGGAGGTTAAGAGAGAAAAAGAACGTGAGAGAAAAGCTAAATATGCCTTTTTGGCAGCAGCAATTAAGAGAAGAGATCAGCCTGGCCCAAATCATCCCAGAACAGAACTTAAGACACCCCCACCCATCCCAGACCCTGCTTCCAATGCAACCAGTCAGGACACTGGGCAAGGGCACGCCCAAACCCGTGCCCCCCCCCCCAAAAGCATGCCCAACCTGTGGCCAGTGGGGACACTGGAAGATGGACTGTCCCCGGGGATGCCGTGGCACCCCTGGGGAGATCCCCACCTCCCAGACCTGGAGAGTGGAATGTCTACAGGGACGCCCTGGCGCATCTGGGGAGATCCCCACTTCTCCCTGGAACACCAGCCCAACCCTACGAGAGTTGTTCCAATGACGGGGCCCGGGGCCCAGCCCCCCAGCCCGTGTCCCAAACACGAGCTTGGAACTTAAGGTGGGTAGATGGAGTAGTGGCTGGAAAAAATATCTCTTTTATAGTAGACACTGGAGCCACTTTCTCTCTCTTAACTTCCTACTCTGGCCCAACTCAAGACTCAGAACTCACAATTAAGGGGGTCTCTGGACTTCCCCTAAGGCCAAAAATCAACCCTCTATTACTCTGTCAATTTGGAAAATCGACCCTTATACACTCATTCCTCATAATGCCTCAGTGCCCAATGGCACTCCTATGGAGAGATTTGTTATCCAAATTGGGGGTCTTTATTACCATAACCCCCTCAATACAGTCTCTATATTCTACATGCAGATGGCACCTGGACAGTCCCTATCCCTCACCCCTGACCTTCCCTTGGATTTTCCTGCCTTAGACCCCCAAGTCTGGGACACTGATCACCCATCCATAGCCAAACATCATCCCCCAATCCACATTACCCTAAAAGACCCCTCGACTATAATCACCCAACAGTACTCCCTCACCCTGGAGGCCCACAAGGGACTTAAGCCTATCATAGACCATCTTCTTCAAGCCTCTATCCTAATTCCTACCCATTCACCACAAAACACCCCTATTCTGGCAGTAAGGAAGGGACCAAACTCTTGGAGACTGGTCCAGGATCTGCAAAAAGTCAATGAGGCCATCACACCGACATTCCCAGTCATCCTTAACCCTTACCCCCTTCTGTCTACCATACCCCCGACTGCAGCCCACTTCACAGTATTAGATCTCAAACACGCTTTTTTTCACCATCCCCCTCCACCCCCTCTCCCAACCCCTTTTCACCTTCACCTGGCAAGACCCTGAGACTCATGTTTCCCAACAACTAAAATGGACAGTTCTCCCCCAGGGATTCAGAGACAGTCCCTACTTTTTTGGACAGGCTTTACAAAAGGACCTACAGACACGCGACCTAGCCCTGAGTCATCTCCAACACGTAGATGACCTCCTCCTTTGTAGCCTAACCTGAAAACTCTGCCTCCAACATACTGCCAAAATCCTTGGGGTCTGGGATCCTGGGGTTATTGGGTATCCCAATCTAAGGCTCAAATAGCCCAGACAAACGTCACCTACCTGGGGCTCTCCATACCCCATCAACAAAGAACTATTCCCCCAGATAGAATCCAGGCCTTAATTAACTGCCCACTTCCAAAAACGAAAAGGGAACTCCTGTCTATCCTCGGCCTCCTAAATTTTTTCCATACCTGGATCCTCAACTTCTCCCTCATGGCAAAGCTGCTCTATGAGGCAACTAAAGGATGTCTGGATGAGCCGCTCTTTAATCCCTCCTCACTGGCCGATCCTCTTCGCCAGCTCACCCAGAGCCTCCTCCAAGTGCCAACTCTCCACCTGCCAGATCACACCAGACCATTCTTTCTCTTTGCACATTGCAACCAAAGACAGGCCCTGGGCCTTCTATGTCAGCAGGCCAGAGACACCTGGGCTGCCATAGCCTATCTATCAAAACAGCTGGACATGGTGACCAAGGGGTGGCCTCCTTGCATAAAGGCCATGGCTGCTATCGCAGCCCTTGTACCCAAAGCAAATAAACTCCAGACATGCCCTTTAACAGTCTGTTCTCCACATACCTCCTGAGACTTGCTATCACATTGGGCTTTCCACTCCCCTCCCCCTTCCAGGGTACAGGTCCTACATGCCTTTCTCCTCGACCCTCAGCTCTCGTTCTCCCCCTGCTCTCCCCTTAACCCCGCCAGTTTATTACCCATGTCCTCTACAACAGACTCCCTCCTACATAGCTGCAGCCTAACAGTAGATCTTACCCAAAACCCCTTCCAACATGTAACAGATCAGCCCATCCTAGACCCAGACACCCCACACTGGTTCGTTGCTGGCAGCTCTCAAAAATCCCCACCCTTTGCAGCAGGATATGCCATCATCCAGGGGGTTCTTTGTCACAATCACGGAACCCAGACAATTGAAGCTTCACCGCTGCCACCTCACACCACCTCCCAACAGGCAGAACTGATAGCTCCCACCAGAGCTTTAACTCTGACTAAAAATCTAAGGGTTAACATCCACACAGACTCCAAATATGCCTATAACATACTTCACTCAAAAATCCTAATATGGAGAGAAAGAGGTTTCCTAACCCAAAAGGGATCCCCCATTATTAATTCAGACCTGATCCACAAACTTCTAGAGGCAGCACTCTTACCAAACAAAGCCGCCATTCTCCACTGTAGGCAACGTCAAAAGGGAAGTCTCATATCAGCCTACAACAATGCTGCAGGCCAGAAGGCAAAGGAGACAGCTCTGTCCCATCCTTCCCTCCAGTCTTGTCATCTTAGCTCTGACTCCACCCGACCCTCCCACCACCAGAGAAATCCTCTCTTGTCTACACTCACTTTTTCATCCCTCGTCCAAGACACTCGAACAGTTCCTCCATAACCAGTTCCCCATATCCAATACTGACCAGCAATATTTAGATAACCTTACCCACTCCTATCAAACATGTCAACGTACTAACCCCAATTCCAACCTTAAACCGACATCCTTTCCAACCCATCAAATGCAAGGCAGCCTCCCAGCACAGGATTGGCAGATAGATTTTTATTCATACACACCTGGTCCGGAGAGTCAGATACCTCCTGGTCCTTGTGGACACCTTTTCGGGATGGGTAGAAGCATTTCCCACTACAAACAAAAGAGCCCACACCATGGCCCAAATCCTCCTCACAGAAATTATCCCCAGGTTTGGCCTGCCTTCATCCCTACAGTCTGATAATGGCCCGGAATTTACGTCCAAGGTCACCCAGCAACCTGTCCAATTCTTACAGATATCCTGGAAATTTCACGTTCCATACCATCCCCAGTCTTCAGGAAAGGTAGAAAGGATGACTAGAATATTCAAAGAAATCCTTACCAAACTAACCCTCGAGGTACATCTGGATTGGACTGAACTTTTGCCAATGGTTCTCCTCAGAATGCGGGCTTTGCCCAGAGAGCCCCTGGGGCTGAGCCCCTTGAGGTGATGTGTGGAAGGCCCACGCTCCCTCCTGGACTCCCCGCTGAGCCTCCTCCCACACCAAGCTTCCTATACTCCCGTCTGCTGGAACTCCGCAATGCCCTCTGGAAATACGTTAACCACAACTTGCCTGCCCCCAACCCCCAAGCCTTCCTGCCCCCTTTACAAACTGGGGACATGGTCTATCTGTCTGATAGTCCCCAGGGTGACCTAACCCCAAAGTGGCAGGGACCATTCAAAGTCATCCTTACCCCAACTGCAGCTAAACTCAAAAAGGTCACCTCCTGGGTACACCTCTCTCGTCTAAAACGGGTCACCTCCAATCCTGCACTGCCCTCCTTAAATAACACCTATCAGGTCTCCCTCACAGGACCCACCTCCTTAAAATTCACCCGGCGACAACCCCTGTCAACCATCCGAGAGGACACGGAATGACCTGGACTCTCTTCAACTTACAACTGTTCCTGACCCAACTACTACAAGACCTCTGGACCAGCGACCCGACAGGAACCTCCTTCAAAGACCTGACTACACTGGTGTCTCAACTGTGGCTCCAGGAAACCCTCTACAACCTGACTCCAGACGAAATTGATTTCTTTACTCTCATTCTCTACATCATTCTACATCCTAATGAGCACTGTTCCTCCTCAGATTCAAACCACCACCAACTTGGGGCCTTCTGCCCCTCTCCCTGACTGGCCTCTCCCTGTCTCTCTAACTATAACTGCACTCTGAATCTTAATCCTTGCTATAGGCCTAGTAACCACCTCCCCTCAGGACTGGCCACCTATCCTTCGTCTTTCCGTGGGTATCGCCTACGTTGCTGGCTGGGTTCTGCTCCTAGGGCGCTATTTCCTCCGCACTGCCTAACTAACAGCCCATGACTCCCCTGCTCCTTATCCTTGCTGCACTCCCCAGCCTTCTGGCCACTCCCTGCCCCTGCTCAGACATATTCCTACGTACATTCCTCATGTTATAATACAGCTCCAAAACCATGCTCCATGAACCTCGGGGGCGGGAAGCCCAAATCCCTACTCACTGTCAAAGTACAAAAGAGAGGGAGTTTTGTGAGTACCTGCCATAAGCCAAATGGAAGAAACATATGTTTCTATCCCATTACCCACTGGGGGTACTCAGACAGGGTCGGGGTACTAGACCAAAATCGGGAAAAGAAACAAGAACAAGTCATAAAGAACATAATTTCCCAGTTAGAGGTGACCCCTGAGCTTTATAAACGCCTAGACCTCCTTTCCCAATTACAGCCTCTCCTAAAACCTCCCTCTGGCAACCAACACCTTACCCGCCTTCTCAACTCTTCCTTCCAATGCTTCCGGTATGCACAGCACGCATCCCAGTGCTGGAGATGCATGTCACTGTCTCCCTCACCACACAGAGCTGGTCCCTGACCCTCAACCTGGCTGTCACAGGGCAACTGTGCTTCCCCTTCCCAACAGAAAACTACACAACTCATGGGCCAGTCTCTGACAATGTCCTACTGTCAGCCTCTTCAAACCCAGACTGTATTAACTACTCTAGTTCCAACTACACTGGTCTTACAAACTCCACTCCCTCCTTCTGTTCCACTTGGGTTCTCTGGAACAGCAAAAATAACTGCACCAATCCGGGAATCTTCATTCTCTGCGGGACCTATGCATATTCATGTCTCCCCTTGGACCCCCCTGGACCCTGCATCTTGGTCTTCCTGACCCCAGGCCTAACATTCCTCAAAGAAGAAGAGGTAGAACAAATAGTCTACCCCCAAGGGGAACTTTCCCACAGGAAAAGACGAGCTGTCATAGCCCCCCTCCTGATTGGGACTGGCATAACAGCAGCCCGAGGCACCGGGATTGGAGGCATCTCGACTTCTGCCCATTTCTACTACAAGCTGTCCCAAGAACTTAATGAGGACATGGAGCAGGTAGTGGAGTCCTTCGTTTCAATCCAAAGACAAATTAACTCAATAGCTTCTGTGGCCCTACAAAATAGGCAAGCCCTGAACCTACTTACCGCAGAAAAGGGAGGGACCTGCATTTTCCTAGGAGAGGACTGCTGCTATTTTGTTAATGAAACGGGCATAGTCCAGGGCAGAGTCAAAGAACTTAGAGACAGAATTGAACGCCGCAGAAAAGAGTTACAAAACTCCCGAAAACCTGTTCCAACAGATACTCCCTTGGTTGCTCCCTTTCCTGGGGCCATTGGCCTGGGGCCATTCTACTCCTCTTATTTGGACCCTGTCTCTTCAATCTCTTTCAAAGATTTCTCCAAGAACAGATTCGGGGCATCTCTCAAGATCAGGTCAAGACCACTCTTCTCGAGAGCCTCACCCCAAGCTCAGAAAAAGGAGACCTTGAGAACTAGGACAACCCTCCATGCCAGACCCCAAACCATCGCCCCTATCTAACAGGAAGTAGCCAGAGAGATACGGCACCCTTTTCCCCATTTTTTTTTTTCTTATGATTTCAGGGTCTGGAATGAAGGAATCTTTTGGGCCTAGAAAAGAAAACAACATTCTCAAAGGCCCTTGCTGAATCATCTCACTTCGGAGAAAACAAAACAGAACCTTAGTTCCACCCTGATGCTCCAGGCCAGTTGCATCTATCTATCACCCCCTGTCCAGAAACCATCCACCCCCTACACCTGCCCAGAAGACTTGTCACCCCCTGCCCAACTACAAATGCCATCTCAACTAAAGAATACCCAAGACATTCCGCTTGATTAACATTTCCCTTATCGCTTCCACAAACCTCCCTATAAATATGGAGCCTCCCTGATCCCTCTCGGCGCTCAGCCTGGTCGTTAGGCTGACTGTCGCCCCTCCTTGCCTGAATAAAGGTAACCTGCTTCTGTTGAGGTCATCTTTCCTTTTCTGCCTTGGCCCAAACTGTACCTTACAGGGAGAAGAGGGACGGTGTAATTACTCAGTCTACCATAACCTTCTTGGAATCAATAAATATTAGAATTGTTCCAGAAAAGTTTTATTTATAGTAAGTAAATATATGTATATAGCCACTCCTACCCATTTAAAAAATAATAAAGAGGGCAATATTACTTATCAGTTCTCAAAGTGGTCCCTTCTTCCTCTTTTCTTGTTAAGTCTCCCTAGAATCTGTTGTATGGAAATACCAAAATTAATTTCACCATTTTCTTCCTAGTGGACTTCTGGATTCATTTCCAATTCTTTGCTATTATAACGCAGTAATGAGTAATCTTGTCTTTGGAGTATACTCAATTTGAAATCATCTTGTGTTTCAGAATGTGAGGGCACTATTTAAGACATTAAAATCTCATGAAGTTTTTTTGGGGGAAATCATTCCTTAAGATTAACATGTACTGCCTGCCCCCATGATCCACACAGGGCTTCCTCCATCCTGCCTTCCTTCTGTGCCCTGAGGATCACACTATACCTTAGTGTGAATGTGCTTACGGGAGGAGCTCATGCTGCCAGGCGGATACATTTTAAGCCTTGTCTCTCCTGATGCTGAGAAAGGCTCTTAGGAGGATTTCAAACTCCAACAAATGAGGAGGTTCTTTTTCAGGGAAGGGCACCATGCTGGTCAGCCTGTGTCAGGCTGATTCTACTTCTCCAAAATCACTGACATGGATTTTGACAGAAAGAACTCAGAGATGCAGAGACATTGTGATTTGCTTAACGTTACCAAAGTATTTAATGGCAGAGTTCAGACTTGACCTGGGGCCACAAAAGACACCTCTGCCAAGGTCCAAGGAGAGCACAGTCTGTCTGAATGGGATCCTGGCATCACTGGGCATCTCCCAGGGCCAGCAGTGTACACTGGCCTCGGGAGGGGCTTCCCTGGATTCTGAGTGGTCCCACAGCTCAAGGACATAGACTAGGACTGAATTGAGCTGGTGGATATTTTTTTGTTTGGCCTGGAGACTGTTTTAACTCATTGCCAAAGAGATATTAGTATCATAAACAACACATACTAGTCACTCAGTTTCAACGCATGAACTATCTGCTTTATCTCTGCCCAGCTCTACTTTCCTTTCCACCCCTGGATTGTTTTGAAGCAAATTGAGATATATCAATTCAATGCAAATATTTCATTATATGTCTCTTATAGAAAAGGAAACCTACTACAATCCTTTCCAAAGCATTTCGCTCCGCCCCCCCCCCCAAAAAAATTAGAAAGTTTTACAGAAGAAAAATTTCAGATTTCTGTCTTCTCCTAAAGACTTGGAAGCTCTGACAACACTGGGCCTGAAAGGTAATCAGGTTATAACTGAGTGGACACTACTCTTTAGATAAGGAAGATGATGCCTACTTTGATGCAGTCTCCACCACTCCCGACTGTCCGCTACCTGGCCAGTTCAACTATGCAAATCACCTGCCTGGTTCCTGTAAGCATTTAATCTTTGTAAAATATTACTTAGAGGAGAAGGTAGAAAATACTTCAACAGTGTGAAAATGTGAAAATTGACTTGGAGACAGAGCTGTGTTGAAGGCAATTGTAGAACCATGTTAGATAAAAAGCATTCTGGAAGGATGCGCCAGTCTCTCCCCATAGACATTTTCTCACAGAATCATCAGTGTCACCCAGAAGCTGGGACTTGTTCTCATTTCATGGATGAAGAAACTGAGGCAAAGAGAAGTTAAATAAGCTTCCCAAGGCCACTCAGGTAATGAGCAGCAGAATTAGGATTCAAACCTGAAGGATGCCTGACTCTAAAATGGAGCATCTTCACCATAACCCTGGGTCCTTTAAAGAGGCTCAGGAAAGAGACAAAGAAATGGGGCCCAGAAGGGGTGGAGATGCCACGTGAGGACTTTGGAGGCTGCCTGGAGGGAGGATGGGGGCCCAGGAATGGAAGTAAAAGGGTGGGCTGCCCCATGGCTGCAGAGAGCATCTGGGAAGAGGCACTTTCTGAGGCTGTGGGGGAACAAAGGTCAAGGTCACCTTTGTTCTCTGGGTGGGGTGGGCAGGAGGGGGAGGACGGCTTCTTGGCCTGCTCAGGTGAGCAGAAGGTTTATCCTCGAGAACAGGGAGTGGGTCTCTTTGGTCCATGGTGGAACCTGAGTCCCCAGCCAGGACTTGGGTCTTTACTAGCAGCTTGGCTTGGAGTCCAGCCACCCCCTCCTCTCCCCTGGTTCCTTCCCGTCTCAGGGCTGCGTACTCGCCACTTCTTTCCCTCGGCAGCTGCCAATCTGACCCTGTCACATCCTCTCAGAGCCTGAGGGGCTCCTTCTTGCAACCTCCGAATATCTGTGTAGCTTCCTCACTCCAGGGCTGGAAGGTCCGTGGAGCTGAGGCTCCTTCTGTCCTGTTCGTGGCCGCACGTGGCCCCAGGCTGCTGCCCCACACCCAGGCCAGCCCCGGCCAGGGCTGAAGAGGACGGAGAGAAGGAGGCAGGCCAACTGACCACTGTCTCCTCTCCACAGCCTGCTCCCTTTACCGGGTTGATCGAAGGGGGTCTCCAGGATGGGCACAAGATCACCATCATGGGGAGTGTTCTTTCCACAGGCGAAAACAGGTACTGGGAATTGTCTCTCTCGGCCTCATCCCTGAGTGAACCAGGGTGCTGTCAGCTCAGGATGGTCCACCTAGCATCCTCCAAGCTGCCCACACCCAGCTCAGGGGATGGGAAGAGCCCGGCCCTGCCAACAATGCTCAGCCCCCCTACCACCTACCTGGAGCATCCGGGGGCACCATTAAGCAGACTCCCCAGAGACAGGGGGAACGGAGGCTCACGGTCTAGGGAGGGAAGCAGGCCAGCCCAGAGGCGGAGTTCTGGAACTGAACTTTGTATACAGTGACCCAGAGCTGCAGATCCGTCAACTCCCTGCATTTCCTCTAGCTGGTCTCATCTACTTTGGAAACTTCATTTGAGGTGATTTGGAAATATTTAAACTTGCCATCAAAGTTCTATTTGGTCTCTTTCAGTCTCAAGGTTTTTCCCACTAAAGTCAATTCAAAATATAGATAACTCAGCTCTGTTTCCCATCCCCTTTCTCCCGAGGGGGACTGTCTGGGAACAGAGAAGAGCTTGCATGGATTCCAGAGGTGGGAGGTCCTCAGGAGTTCACACAGCCCTGAACTCTATTGAGCTCCGTGGCGTGGAGGCCTGGGACCCGCGCACCCTGAGGTCTGCAGTGCCCACGGGGGCCCCTCAGGACACGTGGCCTCTCTCAGAAGCCTCTCTGTCCAATCCCAGCTGACTTCTACTCCCACTGTTCCTTTCATTACTTTTCGTGGGGCCTGGGGACCTTCTGGATCCCTCCAGGCACCTCCCCCCGCAGCCCTACTTCTAATTCTGGCTTCTAGACGACTTCCTCTGCCACTGTCTCCCCTGCCAGCTGACCTGGCCACAGTGATTGAGGGACTCTGAGAGCCCTGAGCGCCTGCAGGGGACTCTGAGGGAAGTGACACATCCGGTTCTGAAACGCGGTCAGCAGGGGAATCCGGGAACTTGACTTTGAACTCCCACCCCTCTCTCTCCCCCTCCCTGTGCCAATGCTTCCTCCCAGCACAGAATGGCTTTCTACTCCACTCTGTCTAATAGAGCCTGTCTCTACTTCCGAGGGTCCCCCTTCTGATGGGAGCTGCTGTTCTCTCCTTCCCTCGGGCGGAATCTTCAAAGGAACACAGCAATGAAGCTGGGGGACTGCAAAGGCAAAAATGACACCCAGAGACATGTCAGAAACACTATTCTCCACTTTAAGAGAAATAGGAACTTAAAATTTCTCATTTCAGAGTCACTTGGAGCTTCGTTTTCATTGGAGGGAGGGAGGGCTGCTGGGTTCAGTAACACACCAGTTCCTCTTGGGCCCTGATGGCCGAGGGCTCACAGAGCATACTGGTATTTAGGAAGGCATTCAGAACTCACACCCTTAACCAAGAAAGCAAATGGGCTCTGGGGGTTTTCCCTGGTGGGCCAGTGGTCAGAACTCCAATCTTCCAATGCAGAGGTCTTGGATTTGGTCCCTGATCAGAGAACTAAGATCCTCGAACCATGAAGCCAAAAGAAACCCCAGATAAACAAGCAAAACAGAACACTCTGCAGGTAGAATGTCCATTGAGGGCCACCCACGGGCATGGGGCAGTGCTGGTTCTGCGGTGACACCATGGGACTGAGACGGGCTGTCTGACTGGTATGTTAGTTGGGAGCCTGAGTGACCCCAGAAGCAGACTGGGAACCACATTAGCACTGAGCTCAGGAAAGGTGTTGGGAGAGAGATGCCTCATTGGGTAATTCAGGCCGGACCTCGGTTAAGGGACATGCATGAACTCCATCTGGGAAAAAGCAGAACAAGGATTTATTGCACCCCTTTTGTGAGCTAGGCCCCTTGGAAGCTCCTTTTGTCTTCACTCCTCACCCTATAGTTTCAACTATATCCAGAAGAGGTGGAGATGGTGAGGGGCTTCCGCCAAGGTGAGATGGGAACAAGAGATACTTATTTAGGGGTGCCCTCGGGCCATTTCAGTTGTCATCCCCGAAGGAAGGCAGTCACCCCTTTTCTAGGTGGGGCAGCTGGAGGATAGCATGGTCCCAAGTCATTGCAAATGACAAACAGGGCAGAGCTGGGGTCAGGGTCCAGGCCTGCTGACCTCACTCAGGTCAGGTGGACACACGACAACCTCTGAAGAGGGACAGACGCACACTCTTACGTCCCCATGCCCAGAGACCTAGGGTTTTTTCTGTGTCTCCCCTTTAGACACCATCTCTGTAGGTGTCCCATCTATGCACTTGTTCTTTCCATTTGTCCTCTTTCCGAACTGAGCAGACACAGGCTGACCTCCAGGGAGCCACCACTTGGCCCCAAAGACTCACTTTTAGAGACTCTATATATCCAGTCTGTATTTAGACTCTCTATATCCATGTTGGACACAAATTTCTTTACCCATTTCCTCCTTATTTTTAGAAAACCGCACTGTAAGGACAAAATGTGGTAAGTGCAGAAAACACACTAAGGTGAATGAGGTGAACCAAAGGGATGGGAAGAGACTGGGGGTGGGTACCGACCAGCCACGCAGGCTGTATGCAGGTTCCCAGACAGATGTCAGTCACAGAGTGAGCACCTCCTGTTCCCACCCTTGGCAGTAAGCCAGGATACTCTGATTTTTCTTGACCTAGCTTTGCAGTGAACTTTCAGATGGGCTACAATGACAGTGAAATTGCCTTCCACTTCAACCCGCGGTTTGAAGGAAGCAGGTATGTGGTCTGCAACATGAAGCAGCTAGGAAACTAGGGGCCAGAGGAGAAGAAGATGCAGATGCCCTTCCAGAAGGGGAGTCCATTTGAGATCTGCTTCGAGGTAGAGAGGTCTGCGTTCAAGGTGAGTGGGAACTCTCCTCTCTTTAGCTGTCTGTTCCCCAGCCCCATAAGGTGCTGTGAGTAGCCTTTAAATAGTCATATGAGCAACACTTTGTACAGAGAAGAGGACTATCTCCTTGTAAGGCTGCAGTCTCCTTACACACCTTCACCTGCATCTACAGGTACACTTGTTGCTTCTTTTACTCTGGAAGTAAGCACTAGAGAAGTCACCATGATGCTTTTTGGCCTCCTGGGTCTTTCAGTCCAAGTTATTTCAATTTCTCTGTTGTAGTCCTTCTTCCACTCCAGGTCCCTGGGAACATTTGTTTTTCTGTTACCTTCTTGCTGCATTTATCCAGGTGTTATTAAAGACTTAGTTCTGCCTGGCATTGCATATTGGTTTTGCAAGCAGAGTGGTGTCTCTGGGCTTGGGGAGATGGGAGGGGAGCTGAGAACATCTGTTGTGTTTTTTCTTGGTGTGAACATGAATGTCCCCACCGTGTCATCATACAATCTGACATCACTTCTCTGCTCCCCATGGACATTTGCATGTATATTTCAATAACACCATGGGAGAGCTAAGACTAGAAAGACAAACTTACTGCAATAAACAAACACCAGAAGTATGAAGAAGCCAAGGTCTAGAGTCAGGTAGAGATTGCCTTTTGATGCACTTAGGGTCCCAAGCATGGTCCTGTAACTGGCACAGCTCTGAAGGCTGTTGCCCTGACCTACAGGGGATTGATGTAAAAACTAGATATAGGTCTAAACATCTAGAAGCAGGGGTCCCAGAGGCACGGGTGTGCTCCCACCTGGTCCTGGACCATCTCCTGCCATATGCATTCATCTCAACAGGTGATGGTGAACAAGAACATCTTCATGGAGTATGCACACCGTGTGCCCTTCCACCAATTCAACAGCATCTCCATCAAGGGCGGCGTGCATCCGTCCTGCCTCAGCATCCAGGTCAGACTGTGCACCCAGCACTCGTCCCCAGGGGCTGGGTGTGGGGCCCCATCCCCTGTGTGGGTCCTGCTGTGTGAACCCAAAGGTGCCGTCCAGTCTCGTCTCCAGGTGGTTCTGGGCACACATTCTGGCTGCCCCAGTCTGTCGTTCTTGTGTCGCTGTGTCTGTCTGGGACACCCGCTCAGACTCCTGGACTAGTAGGTTTCTTGTCTCTGTCACTCTCTACCATCCCCCTGGTGAGGAGGCCCTGTGCTTCTCGAAAGAACCTGGAATCAAACTGAATCCAGCTCAGATCCCTGGCTCTGCCATTTTCATTGGCTGCGGAATCTTAGGCGAGTGACTTCACCTTTCCGAGACTTAGTTTCCTCACCTGTGGAATGAGCATAATCGGCCTCCCCACAGGTCGTCGTGTGAGTTCAATGAGACAATACACATCAAAGGGCACAGTATATCCTTTCTGTGGCTATTCCCGGGTTTATTTGACCCTCTCTGTGTATTATAATTTTTGAATGTGTTAGCAACATCTAAAAGGTCACGACCAATTTTGCAAGATGAAAAAGTTCAGGAATTGGATGGTGGTGATTTTTGCACAACCACAGGAGTGGGCTTAACACCACTGAACTGTAGGTACACTTGTGTGTTTGCTTAGTCGCTCAGTCGTGTCCGACTCTTTGAGACCCCATGGACTGGAGCACGCCAGGCTCCTCTGTCCATGGCGCTTCTCCAGGCAAAAATACTGGAGTGGGTTGCCAGGCCCTCCTCCAGGGGATCTTCCCAACCCCGGGATCAAACCCAGGACTCCCGCATTGCAGTGGATTCTTTACAGTCTGAGCCAGTACACTTAAGATGGTCAATTTTATGTGATGTGCATTTCACCACTGTTTAGGAAAAGAGGTCAGGTAGATTTCTTCTTCCTCCTGAAGATGGAGAGGTCCCAGAAGACTGATTACCTCAAGGATGCTGACTAGAAAGTTCCAGGCTGGCTGATTAAGACTACATTCCTGAGGAAGTTCAAAGCTACAGTTAGGTCAGGTGTTAAACCTAGGTTTGGTATCATGGGCTTCAGCAAAAGTGAGGCCATTTTGAACCTGTGGTTTTCTCTTCAACTATGCCCCACTTTGTAGCAAACTCTCAGCCTAACCAAAAGGTACAATCAGAATGTAAGGCATTAGCATCACTCTCAGCTACCGATATATAGTCCCCACAGCTTTGTTCACCCTTGGTGTGGTATCCATGGCCGTGATTGTTTTGCTTAATCCCTCTGTCATTTGTAACCCAGCAGGACCCTATCGGGGGATCCTGGGACAGCCCTATGCCCCACGAGTGTTATAAACCTTTAGCCTCCTAGGCCTTCCCCAAGTTCCAAGGATAAAATTTAAGTGAGAAAATGCAGAAGCAAAGGGTAAAAAGTCAAGCAAAACAAAGTGATAATAGGTTAGCCGTTAAACACCATCAAGGACCTTTAGTTTCTCCTCAAGAGCTATAGACAGTATTCTGAACCAAATTCTTTGTGCTGCTTTACAGACATAGAAATCCCTACCATGTGGAAGATGCTCACTGTATGGTGCTCACAAGGTCGTAGAACCCAGAAGCTTGATGATATTGATTCCCGATTACCTCACCACCAACCAATCAGAAGACATCTATGAGCTGATCACACACTCCTCACCCTCTCCCTCACCCTGTGTTTAAGACCACTTCCCTGAAAGTCATCACGGAATTTGGTTTTTTTAAGCTTGCCTGGACCCCTTGCTTGGTACCTGCAATAAATGCTGCACTTCCCTTCATCATAACCCCGTGTCAGTAGATTGGTTTTACTGTGCGTGGATGAATCGTACTGAGTGAAGGTAAATCTGATCTAGATAGTGATGGATGGATTGGGAATTCTGATGGTAAATTCAGTTGAAAGATTACTTTCTTTAACAATGTGTTGAGGGTTACAAATTGGGGCTTTATCTTTCCTAGTCAGTGGCAGAGAAAAAGAAAGGAAAAGAAGGAGAAAGGGTGTCATGTTTTGTTAAAGTGTGAAGACTTGATCCATTGTCTCAGGCCAAAGCAGCCTACCTGAACGTCATCTACTGCTCTTCCTCCTCACTTTGATTCTGAAGTCTCCATCACCTGGACAGGACCAGGTGTCATGTGGGGTCTTCTTCAGTCCTGAGATGTATATCCTAGATTCAAGAGCTTGACTGCCATCCACGTAGTTGGGATGATCTGGTACAGTCCCTTCCAAGGAGATTAAAGGGAAGTCTTTGCTCTTAGTGATTCCAAATCAGATGGTAGAAGACAACTGGGACGCAGTTTGGTGAGTTGTAGCCAGACTAAGTGCCCTCCAAGCCTCAGCTCATTCAGTGCTCATGACAATCACATCAAACATGGCCTGTGATTAGCTACATCTCACAGATGAGGAAAGACTGAAACTTAGAGAGTGTAGGAGAACAAAATTTGCCACCCCTAAATGTGTCGCTTTGGCATGAGGATTCATTTAGGCTGATTCTTCTTAAGAAACTGAAGGCCCAAAGTTTTTCTTTTACCTCCTCCTCAACATGGGGTTGCAAAGAGTTGGACATGACTGAGAGACTGAACTGAAGAACTGCAGCAAAGAGTGCAGATAAAGGACCTGTTATAGAAATAGAGCCTTGAGCAGTGATATTTACAGAAAAGCACAAGTGAGGTGTGGTAGGGGAAACCTTGCACATCCTACAGATCAGAGTCCACTCTGCACCCAGCAAGCACTTATATACCAAACATTGACTTTTCTGTGAATAGCCTTCCTCATCTTTGAAGTCCCAAACCATTGCCCTCAACATCTTGTGATTTTAGCTGAAGGTGGTATTTAAAGTGATGGTTTTGACTGTTTTGGTGGGTAGTTCTCCTTGGTCTCTCCTATGTATGCAAGTGTTACTATACCTTTGTTAGATTTTTTTCCTTTTAATATGTCTCATGTCAATTTAACCTTAGACAGGCCAGAAAACCTAGAAGGGTAGAGGAAAATTTCTTCATTTCCCAACATTCATGTTGTAACTCATGGCAGAATTCAGTTCCTTCTTAGGGCTGAATGATATTGCATTGTGTATATAGACCTCATTTTTTTATCTAGTCATCCATTGATGGACACCTGTATTGCTTCTATCTCTTGGCTGTTGTAAATAATACCAGGAGCATGGGTGTACACATATCTCTTCAAGTCTCTGCTTTCAGTTCTTTAGGGTATATAGCCAGACATGGAATTGCTGGCAGTGGTAAGTTGTTTCAGCTGTGTCTGACTTTGTGGGATCTTATGGTCTGTAGCCTGCCAGGCTCTTCTGACCATGGGATTCTCCTGGCAAGAGTACTGGAGTGGTTCCCATGATCTTCTCTAAGGGATCTTCCCGACCCATGGATCAAACCCAGGTGCCCTGCATTACAGGCAGATTCTTTACCATCTAAGCCAGACGTGAAATTGCTGTATCACATGGTAATTCTGTGTTTAGTTGTTAAGGGAACATCCGTACTGTTTTGTAGGGTCTGTCTCAGACTATTGATAGTGATGCTCTCTGTTCAGGAACACCGGGGGCAATCGCGTGGGTCTTTGCTACTCATGTGAGCCCCCCTCATTAGCCCAGCTGGAGCCAGTACCATGGCCAGATGGGCCCCTGGGGTTCTTATCATGACTTCAAGACACAGCTCAGCAACACCCATCAGGTAGCCTTGAAAAAAACGAGGATTATTACTCTCAAGTCTCGAGGGCCGCATAGGACAATGGCCAGTGGGAAGGAGGGGGTGAGAGCGCAGATTGGGGTTCTGCTTTTATTTGGGTCCAAAGGTAGGGTGGTTACGCAGGAACCAGGGGGCAGGAAGAGACATGTGGGGTCACTCACACAGTTATCTCGGTTGCCCAAGGTTTCCTAGAAAGGAGAACTTGATGGGTGGGGCAAGCGTGGAGGCTTACTTAGAAGTGTCACACAGCCGGCACCATGTTTATGAAAGATGGGTGTCTTCGAAATGGACGCTTCAGCAATCAGAAGCTTAAGGCCAGTCTCTTAGCATCAAGCACGTACACTGTGTTTCCCATCACATCCTCACCATTTAACATTCCCACCAACAGCACAAAAGGCCTTTCTCCATGTCCTCATCAACACTTGTCAGTTTCTGGCTTTTTGAGAGGGTGAAGTGGCCAACACATTTAGAGCAGATCCTATGGTCTACAGTGCAGAGAACAGAGAAGCTCAGACAAGTGTCTGGACTTTAAATAATGGAGCTCAAGGGCTGCCTCTCACCTCAAGCCAGGTCCTGGGAAAGGGTCTTAGTGACCGCACACACGGTGACGCCAGGTTGCTGAGGTCAGCTGTGCCAGGCCCTAGGTCTTGGAGACGCCTCCTTTCGGTCTTGATTCATCCAAAAACCCATTGGCCTTCGGGTTTGGCAGTAGGCCCTCCCTAAAGGGCTGGAGCAGAGGAACCTGGGCTCTCCTTTTGGGGCTGGACTCACTGTGACTCACTTCCAAATCACCTGGAGATGTCAAAGTGCATGTTCCCTTGAACTCTAGCTGTCCCTGTTTCTCCCTGGGCTCTGTGAGTTTGGGGGTGGTCTCTAAATTTTTAAAAATTCACTTATTTACTTTCTTTTCTTTTGGCTGTGCTTGTTCTTCATTGCTTTGCGCTGGCTTTCTCTAGTTGCAGCAAATGGGAGGCTTCTTCAGTGCCGTGCACGGGCTTCTCATTGCTGAGCCTTTTCTTGTTGCTGAGCACAGGCCGTAGGAGTGTGGGATTCAGTATTTACAGCAAGTGGCCTCTAGAACTTGGGCCCAATAATTGTGGCACATGGACTTAGTTGCTCCACCTCATGTGGGGTCTTCCAGGACCGAGGATCAAACCCACGTTTTCTGCATGTCGAGGTGGATTCTCACGTACTGTGCCACCGTACATGGCCTGTGGTGTTTTTTAAACAGACTTTATTGAGGTACGGTCCATGTAAACACACAGACCCTAGTCTGCTGGATGAGTTTTTATGCTGTAAACAGCTGCATGACCACCACCCGGGTCAAGCTCCAGCACATTTCCAGCACCCAGATGACTCCTTCGGGCCCCTCCCATTTGGTGCCCCTCAAAGCCATTGCTTTTCTGATTCGTTACTGGATTTTATGTTATCAGAATGCTCCCAGTGTGTGCTCATTTGTGTCTGGCTCTACGTGCTCAACGGTGAGGTTCACTGAAGACCTTGCCTTTATCTTCAGTCCCATTTTCTTGCTGATGGCTAGTCCATAGCAGGCAATTCCCAGGTGACTCAGTAGTAAAGCATCTGCCTACCAATGCAGGAGACCCAGGAGACATGGGTTGGATCTCTGAGTTGGGAAGATCCCCTGGAGGAGAGAATGGCAACCTGTACCAATATTCTTACCTGGATAAATCCAGAGACAGAGGAGCCTAGTAGGCTGTAGTCCAAGGGTTTGCAAGGAGCATTCACTGTTCCCCTTCTCCTGTTGGTGAACAGTTGTGTTTCCAGTGAGGGGCTGTGATGAGTGAAGCTGTTAAGTACATGTACATCTGTTCTTATCTCTCTTTGGTGAATATCTAGGAGCAGAAGAGCCAGGATGTAGGAGAGGTAGAGGATTAACTTTATTATAATCCACCAACAAGTTTCCAACACTGTTGTATTTTACACTCCAACCTGCGGTGGATGAGAGTTCCGGTTGCTTCCTATTCCAGTCAATGAGGAAACACTTCCCGTATCCCTGGTGTTGAAGAGGATTGCAAAGACTCTCTCCTTCTCTTCCTCCTTTCTGTTCCAAGTGTGTCGTCTTCCCCTTAAATCCAGTCATATTCTAGTTGATTCGGGAATCTAGTGGGGATGGAGGGTGGATGGAGGAGGCAAGTGGGCTCCGTCTATGAGAATGTCTCAAAGGAGTCAGTCTTTGCAAATCCTGAGAACGCAGGCAAGTGCCAGAAGGGAGAGAGGTGCAGACCTGTGTGTGGCCCTGGGCACCCGCTCCCCTGCTCCCCGCCTGTTGACTGTAGGACCCTCAGCTGCTCGTCCAGGCTGGACCCCAGGGCCTGTCTCGAGCACATGGCGGGGACCCGCTTGACTTCAGGTAAGTCTATTGTTGCTATGCGTTTCCTCCCCACCCCACTTTGCTACCCAGCTGATCCTAGTCTCTGTTTTAGTCAGTCATTTCCTTTAACAAGGTGGTGGAGCCAATTAAAGACACTTATTCAACATAGTGACCCACCTCCATGTCATTCAGAAAGTTTTAGTATGTCTGAATCTTCTCTGCTCCCCAGTCTACAGCCCAGAATGAAGTGAGAGAAGAGGAGGGAAGAGAGAGATAAATTCTTAGAGAGGAGGGATCAGAAGCTCCTGGGGCATCATTAAACACAAAGATAAGGTAACCTTCATGATAAGGTTTTCTATTAATATTTATAAAACATTTCTTTCCATCTGCTAATGTATTGTTTTTTCTTTTCTTTCTCTTTCTTTTATTTTGACTGCATCATGCTATATGCATGTTCTTAGTTCCCTGACCAAGGATTGAACCCATCCCCCCTGCAGTGGAAGCACAGAGTCCTCACCACTAAACTATCAGGGAAATCCCTCCATGACTAGGTTTTTATGTGAGGAATAGAATTTTAGAGGGAAGAAATTCCTTTTTGAGGCCCAAAGAAGTCTCATATGGCTCAAGCTATCACTAATGAGCTGTGTGACTTTAGGAATGACCTTTAAACACTCTGAGTCTCAGTTTCCCTATCTGGAAAATGGCTATAAACAGGCCTTCCCAGCACAACCTCCACCCTGTGCACCAGTAGCACCCAGCTGCCCGGACCCCACCAAGCAGTTCTGTTTTTGTCTGGACCCACAAGAGACAGTCACATTCTCAGAACCAGTGATGTCTAGAAGCTCGCTGCAGTATGAGTGTGGTCAGGATCTCTGAGCCAACATGAACCTCTATGCACTATTGGGTCTCGGTGCAGATCACAGGAGGTGAGCAGAGGGGAAAGGAACCTGGGTGAAGAGCACCCACTTCCACCCTCTCCTCTCCTCCCTACTCTTCTCCCTTTCTCTAAACCTACATCATCTCCTGGATCCTCCCCACTGAGTAACAGTCCAGTTGCTTTGGTTTCTATATATTTTTAAGTCCTCTGGGTGCAGTGGTCTTCCTGGCCAGTGTGTAAAGCAACAGAGGCCACAGAGGTGGTGGAGAGATGGCCTTTGTGGAGACCCAGTCTCCTTACAGAAACCCACTGAACTCCGGGGCTGGGGGTGGTTGCGCCTCAGCGGACAGGAAGCAGCTCTGGGGTTCTAAGAAAACAGCTCCTGCAGGTGACAGAGGAGGGGAGCAGCAACCTAAAAAGAACACGGAAGGGCAGACACAACTTCTTCTCCACGACCATCTCTTGGGTGTTGCTCAGGACTGCGGCGGGTGAGCATCCCCAGGATTCCTGCATCTGACAAACGTTTACTGAGCTCACTGTGGGTGCCTCTACGGCTCTAAGCAATAACTGGAAAAATGATGGTTGTCTTGCAGGGAGGTAACAGGGCTTCTGGGGTGGGCAACGACCCAGCATAGAAGCAAAGGGGACGTACGTTAAAGATGCCCTCTCTGTGCTGAATCTTTTACTAGCTGGATGACCTCAAGCAAGTTACTTTACCTCTCTGGGCCTCAGTTTCTGCATCTATATAATGGGGTTAATCCTGGAGTCACTGCCCAGATCTGGGGGAAAGATTAAGCAAGGTAGCACATTGAGAGAGTTTGAATAGTGTCTGGCTCACTGCAGGAGCTCTGAAAGTGTTTAGAGTTGTTAGAAAACTGGGAGCATCAGGGAAGTCCTCCTGAGGAGGTGTCTGCTCTCTGAGGGGCAAGAGAGCAAGGCAGGGCAGGTCGAGGGTGTGTGAGAAGGACCATCTTGGAGTTAAGGGGGAGCTGGGTGCTCCTGCACTGTGGGCTGCAAAGGGCTTCCTTCTGTGCCTTTTGACTTCCTGTCTGGAGGTCCCATCACAGGATGCCCTGTTTAAACCAGGGGTCCCCCACCTCCAGGTCATATACTAGTGTTGGTCTGTGGCTCCTTAAGAATTGGGCCACATGGCAGGCAGTGAGTGGCGGGCAAGTTAGTGAAGATTCATCTGTATTAAAAGCCACTCCCCGTCACTCGCATCCCCTTGTCCTTGGAAAAATAATCTTCCACAAAACCGGTCCCTTTGCTACAAAGATTGGGGCCAGCTGGTTTAAACCCTTATCACCCCATGTCATACATGTAAAATTGAGCCTCGTAGAGGTGGAGGCCACTTGTTCAAGGCTCCTAGATGGAAAGTGGCCAAGGAGAGAGGTGCCTTAATTCCCCGAACCTGGAGAAAGGAGGTGCCCACAGAGAGAGCCCTGCAGGAGGAGACAGGCAAAGAGGGCACAGCCCCAGTCAGGCGGCCTCTGTGCTCACCGTGTGCTGGGCCCGGCCCTGCAGTAGGAGCCTCTCCTGCCTCAGCGTCCCAAGGGGCTGGGCAAGCGGGCTGACTGAGGGCCTCCTGGGGGTGGGGAAGAAGAGGGCTTCCTAGACACACACCAGCCTCCACTGAGGGAAAGTCACGCACACTGAGGTCCCTACCCTTGGAGAGCTCCAGTTTATTCTCTGTCTCCCTTTTAGACACCAAATCTGGGCATGCGCCGTCGGTGTCCCCGTCCTTTCCATTTGTCCCCTTTCCCAGCTGAGCAGACACAGGCTGGCCTCTAACGAGCCGCACTACTTGACCCCAAAGTCTCTCACTTCTAGGCACATTTCTCCGCTTCCATTTTGGACACAAATTTCTTCACCCATTTTCTCCTTATTTTTAGAAAATGATACTCTTAAGGGCAAAATGCAGTAATTGCACAAAAACACACTAAGTGCAAATTAGGTGAGCAAAAGTGATGGCAACAAACTAGAGACGGGCACCAGCCAGTCTCACAGGCTGTATGCAGGTTCCTGGATGGATGTCAGTCAAAGTGTGAGCACCTCCTGGTCCCGCCCTTGGCAGTAAGCCAGCACATCGAGACCTGTCTGACTTCCCTCCACAAAGGTTTGCCGGGAAATTTCAGACCAGGTGCAGTGACAATTACATTGCCTTCCACTTCAACCCTTGGTTTGAAAACAGCGGATATGTGGTCTGAGACAGGAAGCAGAAAAGAAGTGGAGCCAGAGGAGAGGAAGATGCAAATGCCCTCCCAGAGGGGGAGTCAATTTGAGCTCTGCTTCCAGATATAGAGCTCAGAGTTCAAGGTGAGCAGGAACTCTCCTCCCTTCCCTTTAGCTGCCTGTCCCCCAGCCCCATCGGGTGCTGTGGACAGTCTTTAAACAGTCACGTGAGCAACACCTTTGTACAGAGAAGACCACCATTTCCTTGTAAGGCTAAGGCTTCGGTCTCCTTCCACACCTTCACCTGCAACTCCAGGTGCACCTCTTGCTTCTTTAACTCTGGAAATAAGCACTAGATAAGTCACCATGGTGCTTTTATGGCCTCCTGGGTCTTTAAATCCAAATTAATTCCAATCGTCTGTTGTGGCTCTTTTTCCACTCTAGGTCCCTGGGAACATCTGCGTTTCTGTTACATTGTTGCTGCCTTTATCCAGATGTTATTAATGGCTTTGCTTTGCAGAGCGTTGCACATTGCTTTTGGAAGTAGAGCAGTATCTCTGAGCTTGGGGAGATGGGAGGGGGAGTGAGTACATCCATGTCTGTGCTTCTCTGTGTGAATGTGGATGTCCCCACCCCCTCATCCTGCTACCTGACATAAAGGTAGAGGTTGTGTTTGGATGCGTTTCAGGTCCCAAGCATGTTCTTGTAACTGATACAGATCTGAAGACTGATGCCCAGACCTACAGAGGATTGATGTGAAAACTGTAGACACAGGTCAAAACTTCTAGAGGCAGGAGTCCCAGAGGCTCGGGTGTGCTCCCACCTGGCCAGGGACCACTACTGGTATGTGCTCTCATCTTGGCAAGTGACGGTCAATGGAAAGAGCTTCATGCAATATGAACGCTGTGTGCCCTTTGGTGACGTCAACACCATCTGAGTCACAGAGTCTGTGCAGCTGTCCTCCATCAACTTCCAGGTCAGACTGTCCCCTACCCGGGGCTGGGTGTGGGGCCCTGTCCTCTGTGTTTGGACCCTGCTGTGTGGACCCAAAGTTGCCAGCCAGTCTTCTATCCAGGGGCTCTGGGGACGCCTCTGGATCCCTTGTCCTGTCCTTCTTGTGTCCCGTCTCTGTTTGGGATATCTGCTCAGTCTGCTGGACTAGTAGGGCACTTGTCTCTGTCACTCTCTGTCCCCACCCTGCTTAGGAGGCCGTGGCGTACTTAAAAGATCCTGGGCTTGGAAATCAAACTGAATCATGCTCAAATCCCCAGCCCTGCCATTCTCATCAGCAGGGGGATCTTAGACATGTGACTTCACCTTTCGAAGCCTTGATTTTCTCACCTGTGGAATGAGCAGTCTGTGGCCCCACAGTTCGTTGTGTGAGTTCAGTGAAGTGACCCAGAACGAAGAGCACAAAGTAGCCTGCTGGGCACACTCCAGGTCTATTTGATCATCTCTGTGTTTTACAATTTTTGAATGTTTCACCAACATCTAAAAGGTCAATTGCAATTTTGCAAGATGAAAATTTTCTGGAGCTGGACAGTGGTGATGGGAGTGAATTTAACACAGTTGAAATGTATTTACTCTTAGCATGGTCAATTTTCAGTGATTTGCATTTCAGCACTGTTTAGGAAAAGAGGTCAGGCAGATTGCTTCTTCCTCCTGAGGATGGAAAGGCCCTAGGAGACAGATTACCTCCAGGGTGCTCACCAGAAATTTCCAGACTGGCTGATTAGGTCTTCATTCCTGCAGAAGGTGGAAGCTACCAGCTAGGTCAGATGTTAAACCTAGGTTTGGTATCATGAGCTTCAGCAAAAGTGATGCCATTTTGAGCCTGTGGTTTTCTCTTTAACTATTCCCCATTTATTGAGAGAACTCTCAGCCTAACCAAGAGATTGATCAGAATTTGAGGTCTTCAGAATTGAAAGAGACACATGTACCCCAACGTTCATCACAGCACTGTTTACAATAGCTAGGACATGGAAGCAACATAGATGTCCATAGGCAGATGAATGGATAAGAAAGCTGTGGTACGTATACACAATGGAATATTATGCAGCTATTAAAAAGAATGCATTTGAATCAGTTCTAATGAGGTGGATGAAACTGGAGCCTGTTATACACGGTGAAGTAAGTCAGAAAGAAAAACACTAATACAGTATATTAACACATAAATATGGAATTTAGAAAGATGGTAATGATGACCCTATATGCAAGACAGCAAAGGAGACACAGATGTAAAGAACAGACTCTTGGACTCTGTGAGAAAAGGCAAGGGTGGGATGATTTGAGAGAATAGCATTGAAACATGTATATTACCATATGTGAAATAGATTGCCAGTCCAGGTTGGATGCATGAGACAGGGTGCTCAGGGCCGGTGCACTGGGATGACCCTGAGGGATGGGATGGGGAGGGGGGTGGGAGGGGGGTTCAGAATGTGGGACACATGTACACCCATGGCTGATTCATGTCAATGTATGGCAAAAACCACTACAATACTGTAATTAGCCTCCAATTAAAATAAATTAATTTAAAAAAAGTATTTGAGGTCTTATCATCATTGTCAGCTACCAATTTATAGTCACTGTAGCTTTGTTGAAACTATGTGTAGTATCCAGAGGTCATGACTTTTTACCTTAATCCCTGTGATGTTTGCAACTGATCAGGACCCTTGGGGGCTTCCTAAGACATCCTTACACCCCATGTCTGTAATAAACCTTTAGCCTCCTAGGCTCTCCCCTGTTCCAAGGAAAAAATTTAATCAGCAAATTGAGAAAATGCAGAAACAAAGGAAAACAGTCAAGCAAGACAAAATAATACTAGCTTATCCATTCAATACTCAAGGACCTTTAGTTCTTCCTCAAGGACTATAGAAAATATTCTGAGCCAAATCCTTTGTGCTGTTTGCAGGTACAGAAGCCCCCTCCAGGTAGAAGGAGTTAACTGTATGCTCCCCACAAGGACATAGAACCTGGAAGCTTGATGATGTTGACTCCCGATTACCTCACCACCAACCAATCAGAAGACATCCATGAGCTGATCACACACGCTGCAACCCTCTCCTTCACTGTCTTTAAAAACCTTTCCCTGAAAACCATCAGGGAGTTTAGGTTTTTTAAGCACTAGCTGCCTAGACTCCTTGATTGGTGTAATAAATCCTGTATAACTCCTGCAACAAATCCTGTACTTTCCTTCACTGCCACTCCTGTATTAGGTTGGCTTTATTGCACATGGATGAGCTATTATTAAGCAGAGGCTAATCTAATCTAGATAGTTATGGATAAATTTGCCTTATTCTCTCTACCTGGTTGATCCTGCCACTAATATATATGCTTGTTTCAAAGGTTAAGCCATGCATAAAGTGCGAATGGCTGGTACAATGAAACTGCAGATAGCTCATAAAATCAGTTATGGCTCCTTTGATTGCTTGTTTATTGCAACTGGATTATAGTTAGTTATAATAATCATTGCTTAAATTCTTTGTTTTCAAATCATGCTTTTTGTCTCCCTGTTGCACTATGTCGTTATCAATGTTACTAGCAGCATTGCTTATATCCTGTCTAATTTATAACATTACAGTAACTAGTGTGTAATCAGGCTTCCAACTAAACTTCTATGGCTAAACATTTTGAGAAAATCTCATTTATAACATAAAATAATTGCAATAGTGTGACTCTAGATATGGGGAGATGCAACAAGGAAAAATGACTCCTGGATTAAATTAGGCAGAATCCAGAGAATCTTTAACCATTGATGGGGCCTGTTCAAAAATCTAGAACCTGGAGTGCATGTGAAGAAATTTTGCCAGATCTGGGATGAGCCTCCCAGTGCCATGGGACAAAGGTGATCATGAAATGTGTCCCAAATATTGGTCAACTTCCTGGCCAAGAGAAGAAGACCCGAGAAATGGAATCAGCAATTGTAGCCCTTCAATGTGAGACAGTGAACCCCAAGGAAGGGGAATACCTGCCATCTAGCAATCATCAGACTGCAGCCACTCCCTATGGTGAACCTTGAGGACATTCTGAGAATACAGGACTACAGAGAGCTGAGACACATAGCAAGGACAAAATTTTAATGAACCCTGACTCTTAAATCTTCCCACATAAAGAAAAGCACCAAACTCCTTAACTTGAAATGCTGCCTCCTGGGTTTGAAGTTCAGCATTTCTAAGTCTATAGGTGTCAAGTAGGCACTTTCCAAAGAGGAACAAAAAGAAGACAAATATCAAAATTTGAAACTGAGGCACTAATGGCAGACACTCCCAGAAAGATCCATCTGATTAAGCAGAATGCTCACTACTCCCCTTTTCCACAAGACTGTGGAATGAACTTTTTGACAGTGGGGAACTGTTGCAGAGAACCAATTCTGACTCTGTGTTGGAACTGTTTCTTTGACCTGCTTTTCATTGCTGTTGTTATTATAATCATACATAATGGCCTGCCTCAAAGGACCCTGCCCCTCTGCCTAATTGTTAAACTAGAGTGACTTTGTTCAGCTTATAGAGAGATAATCTGTCCCTGCCCATCTGTGAATGTCTGCAAAGAAAAGAAGAGATTAACACACTCCTTCCAAAGGTTGGCCCTTCCCAGAGATATTTTGCAAGACTTATGGCCCTTTTCACTTTACTTCCTCATTGCCTCTCCCTCTCTATTCTGCCTTTTGACTTTGGTTCCTACTTGCTTCTTTCTTTGGTTCTATAAAAGAACCTGGCATCCAGGCCCAACAAGATGGTCATTTTGAGACATTAGTCTGCCATCTTCTTAGTCAGCTCGCTTTCTGAATAGTCATATTCCTTGTCTCAGTACCTTATCTCTCAGATTTACTGGGCTGTCCTGTGGTGAGCAGAGTGAGCATGGACTCGTGATAATATCATAGTGTTTTTGCTTAATCCCTGTGACATCTGTAACAGAGCAGGACTGTATAGAGGCTCCCTGGGATATCCATACCCCCATCTCCATGACTGTGGTAAAACTTGAACCTCCTAAGCGAAGTGAAGAGTTAGTTGCTCAGTCATGTTTGACTCTTTGTGACCTCATGGACTGTAGTCTGCCAGGCTCCTCTGACCATGGATTCTCTAAGCAAGAATACTGGAGTGCGTTGCCATTTCCTTCTGTAGGGGATCTTCCCAACCCAAGGATTGAGCCCAAGTCTCCTACACTGTAGGCAAATTCTTCACCATCTGAGCCACCAAAGAAGCTCATAGCCTTCTAGGCCTTCCCAAAGTTCCAAGGAATAAATTTAATCTGAGGTGTGAAAAAAATGCAGAAACAATGGAAAACATTCAAGGAAGACAAAGTAATAACAATTTAGCCATTACTACACGTGGGAGTGTTTTGCCCGATGTCCGAATCCCCTAGCGGGAAGAGAGAAGGCTTCCAAGACAATGCAACTCGCAAAAAAAGGGAAGTTTATTACTGACTCGAATCAGGGCTCCTGCCGCGCGTCCAACACAGTGGTACGGGGTCAGAGAGCCCTGAGCAGAGGGGGTTACCCAAATTTATAAGGTATGCATAAGCGGTTAGTAGCTAGCTTAAGCAGATTGGTTACATGTTTGCAAAGCAATTTTATTGGTACAAACTTTCGCGGGCTTTTGTTCAAACTTAGGCGTCTGTGGGCTTTTTAGCTCTCCCTTTGTTTCTTACTGGGCACATATTGATTGGCTGGCTCCAGGTGCCTGATGGGGGCGAGGAATCCCACCATTTCACAGAAACCGAAACCCAGGTCCGGGCCGCCTGCCAGCCCCAGCAGCCCCACAGGAGACCCTCACCCCACCAACCCCTCCCGCCAGCATTTCCTCAGCTGGTGCAAATGTTGGCTGGGCCCTTGTGGTTCTTATTACTATTATAGAATGCAGCTAAGCAGCAACCATCTGGGAGCTCTGAAACAATAAGGATTATTACTCCCACATCCTGCGGCCTAACAGGACAATGGCCAGTGGGAAGGAGAGAGAGGGAGCGCAGACCTGGAGTTCTGCCTTTAGTAGAGTCCAAGGGTGCTGTGGTAGGCAGGAACCAGGAGGTAGGAAGAGAAATGTAGTTATCTAGTTTCCCTAAGTCTTTCTAGAAAGGAGAACTTCATGGCAGAGTGTCAGGAAGCATTTAACAGGAGGCTTCTTGTGTGCTGTTTTGGATCTGTCAGGAATCCTCTGGTTCTTATTAATTCTTGAATATTCAATGACTAAGAGGAGAGGCATGCCTTTCCCAGGGCTGAGGAATCCAGGCATTTCCTTTGTTAGTTTCTCAAGACGGTGATAAGTACCCTCTTCCTTCTTGTGAACCATACGGTAAAAAGTGATTGTTTACAACTGTCTCTTTAACAGGGATTGCCTTATGTTTTGTAAGTCTGGAATTTTAATCTTTATCTTTGCTGAGAATAACTACCTTGTAAGACAGTATATATATGCTCACACCATGTTGATTAAAACACCTTTGCTCCATCAGAGCTTGGGTCCCCATTTCTTTCTTTCTTTCTCTCTTTCTTTGTTTCTCTCTCTCTCTCTCTCAATTTCTGGCTGATTCCCAGGAGCGCGAAAGCTGGCTGCGTAACCCAGGAAATGTTAGCCTCTTTCCTTCTTTCACTCTCTCATCATCGACTCTGGACCATCAGGTTCCAGTCCAATAAAGGACCAACAAGTGGCTCCCAGAAACAGGGACTCTGGTACCCGTGGCAAGATTCGGACGGAGTGACCCCAGAGGGCCTATTGAGGCCAGTAAGTATTAAGACATGGGTGAAATGGCTGGAAAGCCCCATCACTTTTCTACTTTACTTTATCACTTATTTAAAGTTCAGGGATTTTCAGTTTCATGCCAGCAAATAGAGGCTTGCCTTCAGACAGAGGTTGAATGTAACCCTTGGTTCCCTGATGAAGAGAGTTTTGATTTAGAAATTTGGCATCAGGTCAAAGAGAATGTTGAATGAGCCATCAGACAGGGAAAAAATATTCTGATAGATTTCTGGCCCTTATGGGCTCTCATTGAAGCCGTGATTCTGCCATTACAAGGTAATTCTAGCCCTCCTGATATTTGGCAACAGGCAGAACACTCATTACGTGAATATGAATTAGACGATGAAGGCTTACAAAAGGCCCAATTACAACAACATAAAATATTTCAGAATTTTTCTACTAACCCTGCCCCGGTTGCTCCAAGCGCTCCTCCCCTGCCAGAGGGCACATATCCGAAAGTCTCTCCCTCAATAGAACCTAATGATTCTGACAACGACTCCCTTAAGACACCTTTTAACATTAAAAGCGACAACACCTTTCTGAATAACAATAATCTACCCTCTTCAGAGGCTCTCTGAATTGCTGGCTTTGCAATCACAAGTCTCTGAAGCTGATGGTTTTCCCACCTTTCCAGTTTTAAGAAATGCTGATGCTCAAGGGCAGATAATACCTCAATATTAAGGTACTAACTTTTTTCACATGCAACAAATGAAAAAGGCTGTAACTATGTATGGCCCACATTCGCCTTTTACTAGAGAGATTCTAAATGCTATAGTGTCTTCTACTGGAACCTTTATTCCTTATGATTGGAGGATTTTAATAAAAGCCCTCCTTAAACCAGGAGAGTATCCTCAATGGACAATGTGGTTTCAAGATATAGCCAGAGATCATGCTAACAGAAATGCTTGAGCAGGCGCTCCCTGAAAGCAAATTACTTTTGAGATGCTAACTGGCACCGGACAATTGACGCTATAGAAGCTAAAATACAGTGCCCTCCTTTTCATTGCGTGAACAATGAAAAACAGTGGCCCTTGAAGCTTGGGATCGAATTACTCCTCAAGGGGAGCCTACAGGTAGCTACACTAAAATATTGCAGGGACCTAATGACCATTTGAATGCAGAGTTCCAAAGAATAGCAAGGAGAGATAAGAAAGCCTTCCTCAGCAATCAATGAAAAGAAATGGAGGAAAACAACAGAATGGGAAAGACTAGAGATCTCTTCAAGAAAATTAGAGATACCAAGGGAACATTTCATGCAAAGATGGGTTCGATCAAGGACAGAAATTGTATGAACCTAACAGAAGCAGAAGATATTAAGAAGAGGTGGCAAGAATACACAGAAGAACTGTACAAAAAAGATCTTCA